AGACAATGGGGATAAAACCGTGAAGGTGTTTGATAGCAACGGAAAGTTTGATTTTATGTTTAATCCTCAAACTGATGACGCTGATAGAGAGTTACGTATTTTGGATGTCGCCACTGCAGCCGAGGACGATAAGATCTATCTGCTTGTCGGACTGAAGGAACCTGGGGCTAAGATATGGGAGAGGGAAGTACAGGTTTTTCACAAGACCGCTGACCTAGAGCACAAGTTTCCTGTTAGAAGAGGGGACTGGAGACTAACATTGAGCAGCGGCAAACAACGCGGCAAAATTCTACTGTTGGCAGGTAACTGTGTTCATGTTCACGAGCCGAGTGGCGAGTTTGTTTGTAGCTTTGGTGGAGGAGTGTTCAAGAGGGCAACAGATATCACTGCTACTTGTGATGGTCGCGTCATTATAGTGGACTCAAACGATGACAGTTTGCATATATTTGATGTGGAGGGACACCAGCTTGGCAAATTTAACATTAAGCATGAGAGAGATGGCTATTATCGCATTGCATGTCACCCGGCAGGTGACCATGTCGTCCTTGCTGGTGAGGAACGAGAGACAGGCCGCCTGACGCTGGCTTTACACACTGTTAATGGCGAATTTGTTCGCCGAATTCAGCTGGATGAAGTAATAGATTATGTATTTGGAATAACAGTGACGGTGGAGGGTCACATTGCTATGACTTTCAGAGACATGCACGACAAAGAAAAGGTAATTGTGGTTTAAAACTAAAAAATTCGAAGACACAAGTCAACAGTTTTTATTTTACTTTCATGAATAAATGTCATCAGGGCAGATGTTTAAATTTAATGCTGCAGTTGATTGGAATCACTGGACATGACTGGATTAAGCCACAAACACTGTAAACAACTTCACCTCCTCTTAAGTTTACCGATGTTTGAAATAAGTTTTGTGTTATAGCTCTAACCTTAACCTTGTGTCATTTTTTTAGATTAGGCAGCCAAAAAAATACTTTAAGCATTCATGTAAAAAAAGATAATCATTCCGGCCTCTCTCTGCAGTAAGGTTTTTCTACTTCTTTGCCAAGGAGACTAGCTGAATGTTGCCTGGTGGACTGAGCAAGGGTTTTTTTTTTGCCATCTCACTCAGGCTCGTCTCCAACCGTCACTTTCCAGGAAACTGCCCCAGACTTAGCCTGCTAACTGTTTTGAAAGCCACCTCGTTGACTTTCCTTTTTTTTTGCCCAGCGTATTTTACAACTATTTCAGCTGCTTTATTCAGGACTTTATGTTCTCCAGCAGGTTCTTAAACCACAGTTTCTTATTAGTGAGTGTGTGTTTACTGTAAGTACAGTAACATTCTTTTGTTTCTTTAACAATTGGTGGTATAATAATATTTTTGTTTGTGCAGAATGGAAAATAATACAATCCAGATTCAATTGGTTTACAAAAACATCCTCATCATTTACCAGAACTTTTTTCGTTAAAAGATTCAGGTTTTTAAGCTTAAAATGCTCTACATTATAACTCAATCCCATGCCACATCAAAAAACACCTTTGAAATCTTCTCCAGGAAAAATATTTTATGATGCTCTCTACTTGATTTAAGCAGGCAATAATACAGCTGTAGGTGAAACTCTGCAGTGATCAGCTTAAAGATGGAGATCGATCTCTAAGTGTTTAACAAAATGCTGTAAAATAAATATTAAAATGGCCTTGTGCCCAAATCTTAATCAGCTAACAAGGTCATTATTTAACCACTGCTAGGATTTTGTCGTATGATAAACATGTGGAAAAAATAAAAAATATAATATTAATGTAAACATGCCTATTAGTAAAGTTATAAGCAACAGATGTTTATTATTAATGGGATAAACCTAGCCTGGTCACGTCCAGTGAAGCCAACCAACAGCTGTATACATGTAGCAAAATGCAAAACTTTGCCTTTGATGACATACACAAATCTGCACTGTTCTCTTACTGTTGTGTCTTCGAGTTTATTAGTTTTGAACAACAATTAATATTATGAAAGGGTATGTGAAAAAAAAAAATTGGTAACTTTTTTTTAGATAGCTGATGTTCGTTTATACAAGTGCCAAACTTTCTAATTACTTTTTAGGGGCAGTGTCGTCAAGGTTTTTTGCTACTTCAAAATCCAACAAATTGATAATTATATCATTATGGAAATCCACTGATTCACTAATGGCCTCTCTAGGAGTCATTAAAAAGAGATCAGTTTACTCCATAAGAAACCTTAAGTGAACAAATCCTTAAAAAAGTTGGGCCGTTCCGTTTTCAAGTTTGCTGGAGTTACATCAATTGGAAAATCTTTTCAAAACCATTAAAAGATATTTTTATCATTCTAGTTCACTTGCGCTTTTCAGAACGATTTGATGTCTTTCTCGTCATTCAAATGTCATTTTGTGCAACTCTGGGTTCTAAACGGGCCTTATAGCAAAGTATGTGATTTCTCTCCCGGAGTATACATGTATTTTGCACAAAACACTCAGGGTTGGTTATTAAAACAGAGCCT